GGTCGATTGCCCTCTCCTCAAGAAAGGTAACTCTCTCGTTAATGTCGTAGAAACATGTTTAGCGGTTGTATCTACCAGAACCTGGTGTGTAGATACTGGAGCCACTGATCATGTCTGCAATTCTTTGCAGGGGTTCCAGGAAACCAAGCGACTTAGGGAGGGAGAGATCACCGTCTACATGGGCAATGCTACGAAAGTGGCGGCTGTTGCAGTGGGAGACGTTACTTTATCGTTCGATAGTAGTAGTTTGGTTTTGAGAAATTGCCTTTATGTTCCTAGTTTTAGAAAGAACCTTGTTTCAGTTTCTAAACTCGTTATGGATGGTTTTTCAGTTTCGTTTGATGACATGGTTATTATTCGTTTTGAAAATCGTTTCATATGTTGTGGTTCATTAGTTGGCAATTTATATGTTCTCAAACCGAACTCTCCCACAGTGCAACATAATGAATTGAATAATGTCATAACTACATCTAATAAGAGGAAGGAGTCTTCGCAGATGAATCAAGCATATCTGTGGCACCTTAGACTTGGACACATCAACCTTAGGAGGATTCAAAAGTTAGTGGCCAGTGGACATCTCGGTCCATTGGAAGAGCACTATCCAACTTGCGAATCATGCCTAGAAGGTAAGATGGCCAAGAGGCCGTTTACGGCAAAGGGGTATAGGAGCCAAGAAGTGCTAGGATTGATTCATTCTGATTTGTGTGGTCCTATGTCGATCCAGGCTAGAGGAGGTTTCGAGTACTATGTGTCTTTCATAGATGATTACTCGAGATTTGGGTACGTTTATCTGTTGCACCGCAAGTCCGAATGCTTTGAGAAATTCAAGGAGTATCGGGCAGTTGTGGAGAAGCTTCATGGTAAATGTATCAAGTCACTTCGTTCTGATCGAGGTGGCGAATACCTTTTTGGAGAGTTCAGGACATACTTATCGGAAGCTGGGATTGAATCCCAACTGACTGCACCCGGCACGCCCCAGCAGAATGGGGTTGCAGAGCGAAGAAATAGGACTCTTATGGAGATGGTTAGGTCTATGATGAGTTATTCGAGGTTACCAGATTCGTTCTGGGGTTTGGCATTGGAAACGGCATCGTATATTCTGAACATGGTTCCGTCGAAGTCAGTTGACACTACCCCTTATGAGATGTGGAAAGGGCGCAAGCCCAGTTTCTCACAGTTTCGAGTTTGGGGTAGTCCTGCACACGTGTTAGTGCAGGAACCTGGCAAGTTGGAGAAACGTTCGGAAGCACGAGTTTTCGTAGGCTATCCCAAGGGAACGAAAGGTGGATTATTTTATAGTCCCGAGGATCAGAAGGTGATCGTTTCGACGAACGCTAGATTCTTGGAAGAAGACTATATTATGAATCATAAGCCCGCGAGTAGACTAGTCTTAGAGGAGTTAAGGGGTGAAATCGATGGTTCCCCACCGAGTGCGCAAGTAGATACATCACATAATACTGCAACACGACACACTGAGAGTGTACCAGTGCAGACAGTGCCTCGTCGCAGTGGGAGGGTTTCTCATTTACCCGACCGATGGATAGGTCTTGGAGAGTCGTCAGACTCAGTTCCAGGAGGCCTAGAATCGGACCCAAGAACTTACGATGAGGCACTCCAAGATAAAGATGCAGATTCATGGAATGTTGCAATGAAAGCTGAAATGGGGTCAATGGACTCCAATCAGGTCTGGGATCTTGTAGAACTACCCGATGGGGTACGACCCATTGGATGTAAGTGGATCTATAAGAGAAAGAGAGGATTGGATGGGAAGGTGCAAACCTTTAAAGCTAGGCTTGTTGCGAAAGGTTATACCCAGATCGAGGGTATTGATTATGATGAGACCTTTTCGCCAGTAGCTATGCTTAAGTCCATTCGGATTCTCTTGGCTGTAGCCGCTCATATGGACTATGAGGTCTGGCAGATGGATGTCAAGACAGCTTTCCTTAATGGGAACCTGCAAGAAGACATCTATATGCAGCAACCAGAGGGATTCATTGCTGAAGGTCGTGAGCATCTAGTGTGTAAGCTTAATCGGTCTATTTATGGACTGAAGCAAGCTTCGAGATCTTGGAACATCCGTTTTGATGAGGTGATCCAGTCGTACGGGTTCACTCAATGTCCGGATGAGCATTGTGTTTACAAGAAAATCAGTGGGAGCGTGGTGGTGTTTCTTGTGCTTTACGTAGATGACATACTGCTTATTGGAAACAGTAAGAAGGAGTTATCAGACGTAAAGGTGTGGTTGTCTAAGCAGTTTGATATGAAGGACTTAGGTGAAGCAGGACACATTCTTGGTATTAGGCTCATTAGAGATCGTAAGAAGAGAATGTTGTGCTTATCCCAGTCTTCATACATAGATACTGTCTTGGCCAGATTTAGCATGCAGGATTCCAAGAAAGGTATGTTACCTTTTAGACATGGAATACCTTTATCTAAGGAGATGTCTCCTAAGACGTCTAAGGAGATAGAGGAGATGAAGACAGTTCCTTATGCTTCGGCAGTAGGAAGTCTCATGTATGCAATGCTATGCACAAGGCCGGATATTAGCTACGCCGTTGGCATGGTAGCTAGATATCAAAGTAATCCAGGACGGGAACATTGGTCTGCGGTGAAGCATATACTCAAGTACCTGAGAAGGACTAAGGAGTACATGTTAGTTTACCGTGCAGACAGCTTGTTACCTCTGGGTTACAGTGATTCTGATTTCCAGTCAGATAGGGATGAAAGTAAGTCAACCTCAGGTTATGTGTTTACCTTGGGAAGTGGAGCCATTTCATGGAGGAGTGCTAAGCAGAAATGCGTGGCAGACTCCACCATGGAAGCCGAGTACATAGCAGCCTCAGAGGCAGCGAAAGAGGCAGTTTGGCTCAGGAACTTCTTAGTGGACTTAGAGGTTATACCGAGTTTGCCACGTGGTATCACCGTGTACTGTGATAACAGTGGAGCAGTAGCGAACTCAAAAGAACCTCGAGCCCACAGGGCAAGCAAACACATAGAGCGCAAATACCATCTGATTCGGGATATCGTTGGTAGAGGAGACGTTGATGTTGCCAAGATTGCATCAGAGGATGCATGGCGATAGGATCGACATAGGTCTTTTAGAATAACGGATTGATAGGACTATACTGTAAAAGCGAAAGCTTTAAGTATAAGTGGGAGATTGTTAGTGTTATATACTGAAAGCTTGGCTTTGCATGTTATTACACATTTACCCTTTATGAATGAGAATCATGTTAGATTAAACAAGTTCTACGTTCTGTTGTTCTGCACTTAGATAGGGTGGGTCGTCATCGGGCGAACCGAAGATCACTCTATCAGTCACTTGCGAACAAGAATAGTTGTTCACAACCTAGATGGACATGAACACCCCATCCGAACGGTTGTAGTGTCAACTGTACAGTTTGTCTTGACTGATTAGTTGCACTAGTACATTTATGTATTGAACAGGATCCCAGAGAGGAGAAGTTCATTTTATACTGATCGTCGTAAATGAACTAGGCCTCGGTTAATTACTGCGTTCTCTTAACCCGTAAGATATTAAACAGGCAGATATATATAATATATATTACTTTGATTCACATGGGTGAGGTTCAGTTCGCTGGATTAATATTCCTACTGTTTTGGGTAATATTATTATATATAGGATGTGCTGTTAGGATATTTACGGTCACCATGTGCGTTAGTTTGATGATGTCCCCGGAGTGAGTTCATGAAGGATTGTTATGCTAAACCCTGCAGGTGGATTAAATTCCGGCATAATAAGAATGTGATGAACGAGCGCTAGCTTCGGTGAAATAATAATAAATTAATTAATTCTTGATTGTCAGTAATCGAATTAATTAATGGACATTATATCTTAAACGTGGGGAGGTAAATCGAGTAATTATTATTGGAGTCTCAAATGTAATTTGGGCTAGGGAAAGGGAGTGCAATAATATAATGTTGGTGGCCCATTAATATTATTTAATTAATTAGAGGAGTGGGTTTGGCCCACAGTTAGTCTAATTAATTAAGGAGCCCTTTTCCTAATCTCCTTAGGGTCCCTACTGTAGCTCTATATATACATCATTAAGCTCATGAGAAGAGAATAGAAGTCTCATTCTCACGTGAAACCATCTCTCTCTCTAGATCTCATTCGAGCTTTATCTTCTTCTTGTTGCTCCACTGGTACAAGTTGAAGAAGGGTGTATTGAGTAATACAGTAGAAGATCTGTAGGTAAACCGAGACGAAATTGATTTTGACCTACAGAACTAACCGGAAGTCCGATTGAGACGTACAGTATACCCAGACGACCGTCTCGACGAGAGCTTTCCATCGCCGCCGACGTCGCCGGAATCCGACGCCGCACGCGCCCTCACGCGCCGCCGGAAGGTGTCTGGCAGCAAAATTTCGTTTTGATCTGTTTGCATCCGTTTGATCCAGTTTTGATCTGATCTTGTTCGTGCAACCCAAGACGCGTGTTGCGGTCAATCAATTGCGGTCAACCGTTCGTGGTCAACCAGATCTACATAAATTTTAAGCCGTAAGTTCTCTACGTCAAACCTTTAGATCCGCTGCGCATAGGTTTACGTTTGCTATTGAATTCGTGATTTGTACATAACGAGATCCTCACAGATCCCAACATCAATGTCCTGTCTCGAAAGACCCATCGACTTGAAATTTATTTAAGATCATAGTTTTAAAGACATGTTCCACGATTGTCATCAAATACGCAACCATATCTCATAGATAATAATGAATTAAGGACTTTATCATATGTGCAAATATGTGATAAATGCAAAGATATAAGATAAAACTATGACTCAAAATAATATAATTTCCAATCAATTATCTTTACAAGTAGAAAAAAAATCCAATTAAATTGAACGCCGTATATTCTACCCTAACACATGGTATATACATAAAAGTTGAATTTTGAAGCTTTTGAAAAAAGTAAATATTACGTTTTCAATAATGAGAATCTTTTTCAGGTGTACAATCACTCACTTTACCTTCAGGTTCTACGTTTAATTTACGCTTCCTCATGCCAAACATACCCTCAAAAACTTGTTATATTCATCATCTTTTCTGTTCCGCCTCCTAAAACCCAAGTCTGACAAACAAGGGGGAAAAAAAGGGAAAGAAATGGAGTTTAATAGCATTCTCAAATTTCTTGAAAACAGATGCATTCTTGTAATTGGCGTGACTGGCTTTCTTGCAAAAGGTAATATTTTAATTTCTCTCAGTTAATTCTATTTTAATTGCAGAAAATTGTTGAGAATTATTCTCTCCCTCTCTCCCATATTGTGTAATATATATACTAATGCCGTGAATATATTCAATGCAGTTTTTATTGAGAAAATACTAAGGGTTCAACCAAATGTGAAGAAACTCTTTCTTCTGTTGAGGGCTGCAGACAATGACTCGGCTTTACATCGTTTCAATAATGAGGTATTTTCTTTGTGTCTCTATCCCAATTTCTTGATTATTTTACATTTATAATGATGTAATCACTACAAAAAATTATTCCAACATAAAATCTAACGGTAACATATTCCAATAAAAATTTAATAAAAATATTCTGTTGGAATGAGTTTTTCATTGGAATTTAGATGAATTTTCAACGGTTATTTTTTCAACGGTAGTTAATAATTTCTATTAGAATATGCAATTAAAAAAAAAAGAATATGCAGTTTATGTTGGAATTTCTATTTCCACCCTGCTGTAAAATCTACAAAATTCAACAGAAATTTAAATAGAAAACTTATTCCAACGGAATATTTTTGTTGGAATTTCCATTGAAATCGATTGGAAAATTCCAATGAAAATAATAACATTGGAATATCAATTGGAATTGTCGTTGAAATTCAATTGGAATATATTCTCGTTAGAATTTTTCATTGAAATTTCATTATTTTTTTGAAAATATTTTAAAATTTGGACTCTAATTTTTTCTTTTATAAATCAGTTGATCTTGTTTTGGATTAGATCGGCCTAACCATTTAACACACAGTCTTTTTATATATATTTATACTTTTATTAAAAAAATATTGTAAAACATTGCATAAACTTTTATGACATTATTAGTATAAGTACTTTTTTTTCCATAACGGAATAACCCATACAATCTTCACAAATTATTAATATTATTATTATTATTATTATTATTATTATTATTATTATTATTATTATTATTATCATT